CAGACAGTTTCCCAAGAAGTAGTTTTCTCAGTTTTTTTAACCATCATTCTCAGCGGTAGTTTAAATTCAAATCTAGATGTTCATAAAGTACAGGCTACATTTTATTCACTCGATTTTCGTAGTGTATACTTCTATTTATTTAATGAGCCTATAGTTGTAATATCCTACGTGTGGGAAGACGAATTATACTGTATTTGAAATGAATGTTGAACGGATCGTTTTTCTTTTGGTACGAAATAACACTTAATTGAAGAAAGGAAGAATATTTTTTTTCCTTTGTTCAATTAAGTGTTGTTTTCGAATATAATACGCTCACCACTTGCAAATACATAAGAATTAAATTTCGGTTTCAATATCCGATAGGAATTTCGAATTTACGACCCTCAATGCATTTGCTGAGAGAGAATTATTTTAATTACTAACGTTTTCAGTCTACTCCTCTAGGCCATCATCAGGTTTCTTAAAACCGTGTTTAGAGACTGTTCCACAAATAGAACATTCCATTTAAATTTTAACTGTGGAAGAATTCTAAATACAAAATTTAAATGTAAACAAGTTTAATAAATAACTTATGAAAAACTAGATGTTACCCGCGACTTCGCCCGCGTGGATTTTGCAAGCAAATCCCATTTATATTTAGTATTTCAACAACCATAGTAATTGTTATTTAACACCTACCGCCGAGAATGATGAGAATTGCTGAGAATCAAACAAACTATTTTCAATTTGATCAATTTTCTGGAACGTTTACAATCGTTCTATAATCGAACCAATATGCAATAACAAATTCGAATTTAAAACGGTTCGAACATTTGGAAAATCGAAATAGATAAAAATATTTATAACAATGTCTGAAATGTTATTAATTTAATACACCTAAGTACTCGATGAAAACTAAATCCTCTCCCTCTCCCCCGAGGGGGAATTTCGAAAAATCCCTTATTAGTGTGCGTTTCTCATGGCATACCCTACNCTTGAAAATTAACTTGGATTTTTTGCGGACCGCGATTTCCTTCATGATGTCTTTTCTCTTTTTATCATACGTGAATTTTGTAATTTTGCCGAAATCGCATTTTTGAGCCTTAGTTTTGTTTACTTTGTATTTTTTTACCAATGTTATTATCATATCTCTCCTGTACCCTAGCGATCTGGCAATATTTAATACTCTATTAATTTCCTGTTGCCTATCCAACACACTACTGCAATAGAGAAAGGCCCTTTGGATAAGGGCACGGAAGGCAGCCACTTTGTACTGGTAAGGATCATTAGAGTGGGACGGAATGTACAGAGGGCTATGCGTCGGTTTTACGTATACCTTAGTGGCCAAGTGCCCTTCTTTGAACTCAACGTCAATATCCAAAAAATGTATCTGTGAAGCATTTTTTTGTTCAATCTTCAGCATGAGGCCATCATCGTTGTTATTGATCATGCTAATAAAATCATCGATTTTTTTGTCATTCTTCCAAATTACAAAGACATCGTCAACGTATCTTTTAAAGTAAACAATGTCATTTAAGAATACAGAAAGAGCGCTTTTTTCCAATCTTCTTAATACAAGCTCACACAACAGTCCCGACATGGGACTTCCCATAGGGACTCCTCTTTTTTGTCTATATTGATGGCCGTTAAAGGTGAAAAACGATTCATAACAAATAAGGTTAGCTATTTCTGTTAATTCATTATTGTAACATGCCAATTCTGGGTTCTTGCTGCGCATGAAATCTAAAAGTGCTAACCTGCATGATTCAATTTTTATAGACGGGTATAAACTCTCATAGTCCATCACAGTTCCAATTTCATTATCCATTAAAATTATATCTTGTATTTCATTAACAACCTCCTTTGGATCCTGTGCTACATGTACATTACTCTCGATGTGCGAGGTGAAAAACTTATGTAATTTTTTTTCAAGAATAAACGTTGGTCCTCTGCATCTTTCAACTCTAGGTCTCATTTCTTTACCCTCTTTATGGGTCTTGGCAAAAGCAAACAACCTCGGCATACTTGGTCTGGGATTACGACAATTTTTGAGGAAAGGTAATGCATTAGTGAGCTTAGTTTTCTCAAGTTTCTTAACCCTTCTGTCGATGCTGTCGATAATTTTTGTTTCAACTCTCTCGCATTCGGTTTTCTTAATATAATCCTCCAATGCGTTATTATATGTCTGCCTTTTCATGATAACCAAGGTTTTGCTTTTGTCAGCTCTTGTTGTAACTAAATCATTTTTTCTAAGCCAACCTTTAGTAAATTTGATGTATTTGCCGGCATCACATCTTTTCTTCCAAGACGTCTGGTCTTTTATGACGGTTTTCTATCGGAGGTATTCTTTATCTAACAAATCTAGCCCAGATAGCCCCCTTTCTATTTCTTGAATTGATGTTTCCCATGAGTTTGAACAGGATCCAAAGGAGGTTGTTAATGAAATACAAGATATAATTTTAATGGATAATGAAATTGGAACTGTGATGGACTATGAGAGTTTATACCCGTCTATAAAAATTGAATCATGCAGGTTAGCACTTTTAGATTTCATGCGCAGCAAGAACCCAGAATTGGCATGTTACAATAATGAATTAACAGAAATAGCTAACCTTATTTGTTATGAATCGTTTTTCACCTTTAACGGCCATCAATATAGACAAAAAAGAGGAGTCCCTATGGGAAGTCCCATGTCGGGACTGTTGTGTGAGCTTGTATTAAGAAGATTGGAAAAAAGCGCTCTTTCTGTATTCTTAAATGACATTGTTTACTTTAAAAGATACGTTGACGATGTCTTTGTAATTTGGAAGAATGACAAAAAAATCGATGATTTTATTAGCATGATCAATAACAACGATGATGGCCTCATGCTGAAGATTGAACA